AAAATGAAGTTGAGGGACAATATCTATTAAAAATGATAAACATTGGGGACCAAAAGTGAACATTACTCTTTAATTAATTAACCCACAATTAAATTTTGCTCGTTGATTGGATACTGCCGGGCTCTTGGACCGAAGATGGACTTTTCCATTTAAATAATGATTAACGTCTAAGATTGTGTACTCTTCCGTATTAGGTTTTTGCTATAAAACAAGGGGAGTGCTAATGGCCACCCCATAGTAGGTAGAGGTGGTAAAAAATGACCTAATCCATTAATTTAATCCGAACCCAACCCAAAATTAGCAGGTTGGGTTGAGATTTTCAACCCATTTAAATAAATGGGTCAACCCGTCTAACTCATTTAAATAAATGGGTTGGGTTGGGTTGAATTTTTTGACCTGTTTTCAACCCGTTTTAAACCCGTTTTGAACCTGTTTTCAACCCACTTAAAATATTATATAAATTTATTTTATTCTTAATATTATATCTGTTTTATTTTTTATGTTGTTTCTTATTAAATAAATTGGCCCAAGTTTCATGATGACTCTTCGATTTCAATCCTTCAATAATCAATTCTTCACATGCTTCATTACTAATCAGTATCATGAGTCTCGACGTTTTGCCTTCTATTTTTCAATTCTTCAATCTTTTCCCTTTCTTTTGAGTTCTACCTTCTCCAATCAAAGATTTGRGTTGGTTTCAGACTTTTAGTTTTCGATTTGAAGTTGAGGGCTTGAGGCGTTGTTGAACGATAGCAGAGTAAGTTCTTTATGATCATGTTTGTTTAGTATTTTGTTGTTAAACTTCGTATAAAGCATATGAATTTCATGCTTCTCTTTGATTATTTGTTATTTTATGACTCTATYGAACTTTAATGATTTCTTTCAAGTTTGAATTTATTTGTGTGGTGTGGCTATTTGTTTCTATCACTATACCTATACCTCATAAATAATTGTTATCATTCGTCTTCATTGAGATTAGTATACAATCTACATATAAGTTGTTGTTTTGTACGTATGGATTACACTTGCTGATGGACTAATGGTCTTAGGATTTTAGGTACGAGAGT